GAACGCACATGTGATTTTTTTACTTGCCATTTTTTTCGTATAATTAATTTGAATATATCCGTATTTTATATAAAAAAAATGGAAAACACCCAATCCACAATTGATTCATTGCGGGAATTGAATTCTAGGCTCGTATCCCAAATCGATAAACTTAGATATAAGTTTGCTGAGGTTGAGGCTGAGAATATCAAACTTAAAGCTGAGAACGAGAAAGTTAAGGCCGAAAATACTGATATTAAAGCTGATAATGTGAAGTTAAAGCAAGCTTTAGAAGAACATGAAACCAGAATCACGAACCTAGAACAGAAAGATAAAGTAAAAGCTATCACTAATGTTTCGCAATCTTCTAATGATACTCCTATATCTGATATATCTGAGAATGCTTCAGCACGAATGTGCAGGCTCACGCCAAATTCTGATGTATACCAAGAGACGAAGACCCGATGCACCACATCACCAATCTACATAAAAACTAAATCTTCTGAAAATAAAGAATGTGACATAAAAACCGTTTCCCAGGGAAACGATCGTGATAACTCATCATGTGACATAAAAACCGTTTCCCAGGGAAACGATCGTAATAATATTGAAAGTAGCGTAGATATTGCTTCCCAAATAAGCAATCAGCAAAAAACTATTCCGAATACTTCTTTACCGGCAGAAGATCTTGACGATTCTGATGAAATTGAGCTCACTAAAAATCAAAATATAGAACTAGATTTAATCCAAGATTTACAGAATTGTATACTTATTGCTTCACCTGATTCCATAGAAATACCTTCCAAAGACATCGTGGATAATGAAAAGCCATTCTCTAAAATTACAACACAAAGCTTAATCCATTTATTTATGAAAGCAATAAGATCTGGGCATCAAGAAATTTTATCCTGGATTTGCTATTCAGACAATTTTGAGAATAAAGTTATTGAAATTCGACACAAAAGAGGAGTTAACGATAAAACTGCAAGAACCCAGATATACAAAGAAATGTTAGAACATTTACCGGGCGTTACATCGGGTGCCTTGCGAATTAAAACTCTTAGGGCCAGAAAAATTCGTAAGCTATTTGGAGCAAATGGAGTTGGAATTGACAAGGTTATGTATGTTACCTGCAGTGCAAATGATATTTCAAAATTAACTAATG